GTCCCTGCCCTCAAGGAGCTTACAGTCTATTGTGGGGAGACAACAGGCAAACAAAGAGACAAAAAAGCAAGCTATAGACAGGATAAATAGGAAGTAATTTTAAAAAGAGAGCACAAGAATTAAGAGGGGTTAGGGAAGGCTTCCTGCAGAAGGCAAGATTTTAGCTGGAACTTAAAGGAAGTCAAGGACGTCAGTAGTCAGAGTGGAAAAGAGAGTTCTAGGCATGGAAGACAGCCAGAGAAAATGCCCAGAGCCGAGAGATGGAGCATCTTGTTCATGAAACCACCAGGAAGCCAGTGACCCTGGATGGAAGAGTACAAGGCAGAGAGGAAGGTAGGACTGGGCTAGGCTGGGAAGGGCTTTGAATGCCATACAGAGCGTTCCGTATTTATTCCTAGAGGCACTAGGGAGCCATTGGGGTTTGTTGAGCAGGGGCACAGCACAATCAGATCCATGTTTCGGCACATCCCTTTAGGTGTCCTAGTAGAATGTAAGCTGGTTGAGGGCAGGCACTGCATTACTTCTACACACAATGCCTGGCACGAAGTAAGTACTTGTTGCTTTGAACTGAACTCCAGAGCAATACCAGCTATGAGACATTGGATGCCAAAAAGAGGCAGCCCTATCTCTCCAGTTTTAAATGATTTGCTGTGGTATTCTGCCTCCCCACATTCAAATTAACCTGAAATGACATTTTTCAGTTTGCCAAATTACTCAGATGCCCACAGCACGCCAAGTGCTAATTTTCCCTTTTCCGTTCCTGAGAATCAATTTAATCACCAATGTTATTAGTTTTTGTACAGAGAGCCAGCTTGGCATAAGGATTAGAGGGTCGGCTGCGGAGCCAGGAGGAACCAGACTCGTGTCCCTCCTCTGACACAGACTAGCTACCTAACTTTGGGCAAATCACTGAACCATTCAAGGTCCCAGACAACTGGGTGAGACTCTAAGTGTGTTGCCACATCTACATGAGTGGAAGGAACTTTCTATGCCACAAGAGTCCCACACTGATAAAACTACAGCTGTGACTTTAAAAAAAAAAGTTATGCATTGGATTTATCAGGACAATCTGGGTTCAGATACTACCACTGATACATATTGCTTGTGTGATTCTGGACTAGTCACTTGACTTCTCAATGTCCTTCAATTTCTCAAACTAAAAAAAAAAAGTGCCGGACTCCATTAATAGAGGGAGATTTCTTGCCAAGAAACCATTGGTCCAGACCATCTAGATCAGTCTTTCCTAAAATGTCCTTTCTAAGGTTCTAAACCATGGTACTTTTTCCGCACCATGATTTTTTTCTATGATATTTGTACTGGAGGCAAAGATTTGCTAATCCACATTATAAAACCACTATTCAAAAGAGGTGTTTACATATGAGAAAGTTTGATTTTCCAGGGCCTTTTTGCTCTTTTTTACACAGAACACGCCATCTTTCATCTTGATGCTTTTGGCCAACCGGCCTTCATGCCTAGAACGCTCTCCCTCCTCACCTCCATCTCGTGGAACTGCTGGCTTCCTTCAGGACTCAGTTCAAACGCCACCTTCTGAAGGATGCCTGTGAGCCAGGCCCAGGGCCAGCGCCCTCCCCTCTACTGTTACTTTCTAGCTGTTCTATATGTACTTTATACACACCTACTTATGTGCATGCTGTCTCCCCCATTAGAATGGAAATTCCTTGAGGAAAGAGATGTTTTTACTTCTTTCTCTTTATATTGTTTGCACTTAGAGTTCCCAGAACATAGTAAGCATTTAATAAATGTTCGCTGATTGGTTAACGGGAATCATTTCTTATTATATTCTCATGCTTAGCATAGTGCCTGGCACATAGCAGGCAGGTCATAAATGCTTTTTAACTTGACATTTTATCCTGGACATGAAGTATCCATATACTCAGGATTTTCAGAAAATTACTCCTTTTTATTTTATTTTATTTTATCTTATTTTATTTCTTCCTTTTTATTTTATGAAGGAAATACATCTTCAAGAATGATAGAAATATTTGTGATTTTTCCCAGACCTTCGTGTCAATTCACTATAAAACATTTATTAAGAACCTACTGCATGCAAAGACTACAGCATAGAAACTTATTCTATGATCTTACAAGATCATAGATCACTGCATAAATCATGGTACATAGATCACATAGGCTCAATGATTCCCAAGTTTTTTAATATGCTGATACTGTACCACATTTTATTCTATAAAGAAAAACTTCTTAACAGAATTGTCTAATAATGGCATGGGCAGCTTGAGATTGGGGCGGGGGGTAAGAGACGATGTGAGTTGCCTGTCCTTACAGATCTTCAAGGAGAAGCCAAATAACTACTTGCTGGGATATTCCTCTATGGGAATTCAAGTTTCAAGTGTGGGTTGGGCTGAAGGACCTCTGTGATGGTGAGGCAGCACAGACCTGGGGTCAAGGAATTTGGGTCAAAATCCTATCTCTGCTACTTATTACTTGTGTGACCTTGGGCAAATCATTTCACTTTTCTGCGCCCCATCTTCCCAGTGAGTAAAATGGTGGGGTTGGATTAAATAGTCTCTAAGGTATCTTCCAAGAGTTGATCTAAGATCCAGTGGTCTCGTCCAAGTCTGAAAGTCTGATTTCTCCTCCTGTGAGTTCATAAATACACTTAAAAGAATCTCTCATTTCATTGTTGAGAGTAGCCCTTCAATCAATGCAGAACCTACTACCTCAATGTTTTAGTGGAGTTTTCATGAGTTGCAATGGGACTAATTATGAGATAGCCAAACTCTGGTGGTAAGCCTATGAATTTAGCTAGGATAGACAAAACACTCAGTCTTTCTTCTTACCTACCCAGCCTTTATATATAGGACATATTCTACATATCCTATATATGATAATATGTCATATATATTATATATATATATCCTGTATAACATATTCTATATATGATAACATTTGATATGCATAGATCTTGCCATTCCTCTGCTCAAAAATCTTCAAGGTTCCTTCCTGTCCACTCAGCAAAGCTCAAACTTCTCAACTTGGGACTCAAGGCCCTCCCTCCACCATCTGGTGCCAGCCTATCTCATGATACTATCATCTATGTACGCTCCAGCCAAATATGCCCTGACCTTTCCAGACTCCAAACCTTTGCTCCTGCTGTTCACTGTGTCCGGAATACTCTCCCCTCCCCCTTCCCACAGGCCAAATTTGTACCCATCCTTTAAAGCCAAATTTAAAGAATTTCCTGATATCATTCAGCACTGACCTTTCTCCTTGGACTTCACATAGCACTTTGTTTTCTACCTCTCTAAAGCCTTAATCACATATAATCTTCTGTATTATAATCATCTGTGTTTGTGTGTCATACGCTTCCATGACCATGAGGTTCATCAGGGGATGGATCAAGTCTTATGTGTTCCTTGAACTCCCCCTAGAATGGAGGGGAAGGAAAGAAGAGGGGTGGGGAGTGAGGGGAAGGCAGGGGGGATGGGAGAGAGGATTGTGTGACCTTGAACAAATCAGTCAATTTCTCGGGGTCTCTATAAAATGAGGGGATTGGACGAGGTGACCTCCATTCTCACCTCTCTGCTAGGTACAATGGAAAGAGTGCTGGATTAAGGTTCAGATCATTCTTCTGTCACTACCTTTGTGACTTCAAGCAAGTCATTTTTTGATTTGATGCTCTATGATCAATGAAATCAGGCTGGGCAAAAGTCTTAGCATATTTCCTCCTTTCTACTCTTCCGGAAAGCCTGGCCCTTTGGTATGATCACAGCATGAAAAATAGCTCCCACTCCCCCAGATCTGCAAAGGGTGATTAGCGTCGTGAAAGGCCTAACTCAGGTCTGGATCCTGGCACAGGGCCCTGGTAGCAGCAGGTCCTTGACTTTGCTCACAACAGAATGTGCATTAGGAAGTAAAAGGTTTTTGACAAAGCATCTCGCTGGAAACACTTCCATCTAGGCCGGGGATAAATATAACCAGAGAGACAGACCACAGACAGGGACAAAGATTTTTTTGGGAAGCCTTGAATCATGCTCTGTCTTAGACAAGTATGCTTTGTGAGATCTGCTTAATAACCCCTCTTGCCTGTCAGCCAGCTGCTCTCAGTGGCAAGGAATTCAGAATTCAGAGAGATCAATTGAAAGGAGCTCTATGAATGATTCACTAAGAATTGCACCTAAATCGTGTCACTTTGGTGTGGGAGAAGTTTTATTCCTTGTATACGAAGCAGAACTAATGTGTATTTCATAAGATTATATATTTAGAACTGGAAGGGACCTCCGAAGAAAAAACGTTGCAAAAAATATGAATAGTCAAATAAAACAAATCCCCCCACTGGCCATGTCCAAAAACAAATGGATGTGCCATTGAGCATCTCACTCTATCACCTCTGGTGGGAGATGGGAAGTGAGAAGCATAATTCATCGTTGGTCCTCTGCATCATGGCTGGTCATTATACTTATCAGAGTCCTTAAGCCTTTCAGAGATGCTTGTCTTTGTTCCACTTTTGTCTTTATCAGTGTTACACACACACACACACACACACACACACACACACACACACACATTTCCCATAGGCCCAGAAGGCTGATGTGCTTTGGCCAAGGGCACACAAGGAGTCAGAGGCAACATTTGAACCCGGGTCACAGAATCGCACAACTAGGGCTGGAAGGGATCCTGGAGGCCATCTGGTCCCACCCCTCATTCCACAGATGAGGAAACTGAGGCTCAGAGAGGCTGTGAGTTGCCCCAGGTGACACAGGGAGTGTTCAGAGTCGGGATTTGAACTCAGGCCCTCTAATCAGCTCTAACACTCCTTCCTCTCTACTGCTTATGATGATTTCTGTTCACACAGAGTCTTTCTGTTCATTTGCAGGGAGAACACAATCTATATCTGCACACACAATCCCCACCTAGGCAATTCAGACAGGTTTATCATTTTCAAAGTCCTCTAAAAATAGAGCTCCATGGGAAAGAGACACAGAAATGCAGGGCTTACAACACTCAGCTTTATCACTTGCCTCTGTCACGATGGATGTAAAGTTATCTGCAAAGTGCACGTGACTGGCCAGCTCCTCGGGGTTCTTGGGCAGCTCCTCCTGATCCATGTGATATTCCGGTATGGCGCCCACCAACACGATAAGCATGGACTGGCAGGCCACATAGACCTGGAAGAAGCACATGTACATGCTGATATCAGACTGAGAATTCACCAAGGCAGGTGCATTTGTTTGCTCCCCTTCCTAAATACACATCCAGAGAGAACTGCCTTGCCTTTCATCCACTCCATCAGCAAGCATTTATTAAGGGCTGCTGGCATGTTGCTAAGTGCTGGGAAGACAAAGAGAGAAACAGCCTAGACCCCAGCAAATGACATTCACTCCTGGGTTATTCCTGCTTGATGTGAAGGCCAGGAGGATGAATGTTTCATTTGGTCCTAAGGATCACAGCTTTCACCAAACCATCGGTAGTCCTAAGGGGATGGGGACAGTATTGGATCTGGAATCAGAGGACAGAACCGTACCCGTGGTGGGGGGACCAGGGCTTTGACTATTCCCACCCCCACCCCCCTCTGTCTCACAGAATGATACATCTAGACCTAGAAAGGACCTTAGAAGTCATTTAATCCAACCTCTTCATTTTACAGATAAGGAAACTGAGGCTGAGAAAGGATAACTCACTTGCCCAAGTTCACACAGGTAGCAAGTGTCAAAGTCAATGATCCTGACTACAAAGTCAGGGCTCTTTCCATTGGACTATCCTATCTAGATTAGCTATGATTACAGTAAACCCATAAGTAAAAGAAGAAACTTCAGCTGCTCAGCCCAGCTTCAAATAGGAGTAGAGACCTTAAAGTATTTGGATGGCTTCCCTCAGACCCTCTAGGAAAAAAAAAATAGAGAGCAGGTAAAGTTTATCTGGGACACTGCTCCTCTTGATTCTGCTGCATGCTGAGGTCTGACCTCTGGTGTGACTGTTTCCCTTCCTGAGCTCCCCTACCACCCCAGACTTCCTTAGGTGTCTCCCTGCTTAGCCCCGCCTCACAAGGTCATACCTAGAACTGAAGCCAAGTTATCTTGGCTGTTTAGCGGGAGGGGATGGGGCGCTGATAATTCATTCACCCTAACTCCTCAGCTCCAGCCAGAATAACAGGTGTCAGGAGTCTTGGGAAGGGGGATCCAAGAGTCACATGAGTGGCAAGAGGTATCATTAAGAGGCTTGGACTTCCTTGATGGAAAGCTGGTCTGGCCGCTGATTCTGCCTCCATTCAAAACTGCCCAGTCCCACTGACCAGAATAAGTGAAGCCCAATGGGTTGGACCTCATCTCTGCCACTTAACTACCTATGTGATCCTCTGCAGGTCGCTCCACCTCTGAATCTGAGTTTCCTCATCTGTAAAATAAAGAGATTGGACTGCATGGCTTCTAGCTTTCCTTCCAGTGCTGAATCGATTACCATGGGTTAGGTGGCTAATGGGACTTGAAGTTTGACAGTCGTCTGAATGATGATTTCAAACCCAAACTCTCTCTCTCTCTCTCTCTCCACACACACATATACATACACAAATGTGTATACACATATACATATGTATATGTGCATTTATATGTGAATATATATATATATATATATATATATATATATATATATATATATATA